GATAGATAGATAGATAGATAGATAGATAGATAGATAGATAGATAGATTGTCTGCCCTCCAGAGTTATGTTTTTAAGACGGGTAGCCCTATATACATAAACACATATTAAGATCTTTCGCTACCAAAAGGACCTTCCTTTTCTGTTCTCACAGAGCTTCTCACTCTCCACCTCGTCCCTTCCCTCTTCCCCTCCAAACTCCACCAAACATTTGTCTCTCTAGATGGAAAATTTTGAATACAGCATCCAGCTGAACGACCGCGATTGGGCTGAATTTTATTTCGTCTCCGAAGAGTGCCGTTTGATCCCCCCAGCTTTGGCCACTGCTGAAGACCAGCTCCCGGGTGATCTCGAGGAAGGGGAGGCCGAAGGCAAGGAGGGCTCAGCAGCCCACCCCAAAGCTAGCCGTCTCCCCTGCGATGTCCCAGGTGGGCACCTGCTTGCGGAAGATGCTTTCTCTGGCAGCGAAGATGAAAGCGATTTAGGCTCCGTCAGTAGGTTTCTCTGCAGAAGTCAGCAAGCCTTCCGGCCTTCCCAGGCCTTCCCAAGCCCGCTCTCCAGCCTCCCTTTGAACCCTCATCTGCCAAGGCCGGCCACCAGCTCTATCCCTCTCTCTGTTGCCAACGAAGACAGCGCAGGAACAGTAGGTAAGTTAGGTAACATCAGATACAGAAGGATCTTGACAGACTTGAACCTTGGGCGCTATCTAACGAAACGAAATTCAAGGGTGAAAAAAGTAAGGTTCTACATTCAGGCAAGAAAAACCAAATGCACAGGGACAATATAGGTGCTACCTTGCTCAATAGTAATTGTGAGAGGGATCTTGGGGTCCTAGTGGACAAATCACATCAATAGGAGCCAGCCGTGTGCTGCTGCAGCAGCCAAAAAAGCCAACCCAGTTCTAGGCTGTATAAACAAAGGGATACAATCAAGATCACGTGAAGTGTTGATACCACTTTATAATGCCTTGGTAAGACCACACTTGGAATGCTGCATCCAGTTTTGGTCACCACGATGTAAAAAAAGATGTTGAGACTCTGGAAAGAGTGCAGAGAAGAGCCACAAAGAGGATTAGGGGACTGGAGGCTAAATCATAGGAGGTAAAGTTGCAGGAACTGAGTATGTCTAATGAAAAGAAGGACTAGGGGAGACATGATAGCAGTCTTCCAATATCCCAGGGGCTGCCCCAAAGAAGAGGGAGTCAAGCTATTCTCCAAAGCACCTGAGGGCAGGACAAGAAGCAACAGGTGGAAACTAACCAAGGAGAGAAGCACCTTAGAACTAAGGAGAAATTCCCTGACAGTTAGAACAGTCAGTGGAACAACCTGCCTCCAGAAGTTGTGAATGCTGCAACACTGGATGTTTTAAACAAGAGATTGGATAACCCTTTGTCTGAAGTGGTGTAGGGTTTCCTGCCTAGGCAGGGGGTTGGACTAGAAGACCTCCAAGGTCTCTTCCAACTCTGTTGTTTTATTCTATTCTATTCTAGGTTGGCTCATGGATCCCAAAACTAAGACAGAAGCCCACATCACCCAAGAGAAAGATTCACAGGAACCACATCCGAGGCCAGAGACGGGAGAAAAATCTTTGGTGGTGCTGCCCCTCACTTCGACAACGGAGAGTCCAGAGGGAGCAAATGGCTTGGAAGCAAAGTATCCCCAAGACCATACTTCCCTGACTGCTTCTCCAGGGTCAACGAGCCACACCGCCGTTTCTGAAAAACTTGGATTTCCCAAGCTGAGAGACGTAGCTCTAGATCCCAGTTCTTTCGGGGTTTCTTCCGTTCTTTCTCCAACCTCTGGAGAAGCTGAGGATCCAGAGAAGGAAGTCAAGTGCCTCCAGGTTGCCTTGAGGGTCTCCTTCCAGGAAACACATTCCCCTTCTTCTCAAGAACATTCGGTCCAGCTAAGACCACTGTTGGTCAGCAGTAGGGCAAGGACTTCTGGGAAGAAAGAAGAGGATGTCCCGGAAACAGAGAAGGGAGCAGAAGACAACAGCAGGAACTTACGCCCTAAGACCTCTCAAGAGGGAGACCAAGCCAAGGACAACGGGGTGGAAGGATGCCCAGAAGCCCTGGAAGAAGATGGGTCTCCAGACGCATCTTTGGAGGTTGACCACAGAGGGTCTGCTGCTTCGTCAGGAAAGATGGAAAGGCAGAATAATGGAGAACCTTGTCTCCCTCTTGGCCTGGCCATCCCACCTGAAGGAGAGTCCCCAACTAGGACTCCAGAAAACCCGAGACTCGTTCCCTACCATCTGAAATCCCATGACTGTCCAGAAGAAGTTTCAACCAACGTGACGTGGCCCGAGGTGTACGACTACTTCTTCTTGGATGATCTCCACGAAGTAGAGAGGCCGCCGTTGCAGGGGGGAACTCCGCGGAAGACCAGCCACGGCCGTCCATCAGAGCTACCGGCCATGTCAGGTCCTGAAATGTACGAATATTTCTTCCAGGATGTAGGTGAGCCTATGATTGAAGAGGAGACTCGGAGCAAATCTGGTCCTTCAGAGACAACCTTCAGCTCTGCCCATGGTTTGGTTCCATCCACTGACTTGGAAGAGCCACCATCCAACATGAGCACGGACCCCATGGGATTCCCAGAGGTGTATGAGCACTTCTTTGTGCACCAGCCACAAGTCAAGAGCCACCATAGGCCTAACCTCTTGGCTGTGCCAGCTTCAGAGTTAAAGAAGGCCGTGAGAACTTTAACATCCCTTGTATGCAGGCCAGTTCGCTTTCTCAGATCGCGGCCAAAGAGGAGAGGATCTCAACCAAGAGTGATGCTCCTATCTCCAACGCTTCTGGACAGAACATCCCCAAGACCAGAAAACCTTGGGGTAGCTGTCTTTAAACCAGGTATTCATTCTTTCCTATCCTTTTAAAAAAAAATAGTTTTTTTAAAATTTTTGCTATATAAAGAAAGAGCAACCGCTTCAATATCTATATCAACCAAGGGTCTTCAAACTTGGCAACTTTAGGACTTGTGGGCTTCAACTCCCAGAATTCCTGAGCTAACCTGACTGCAGGAGGAATTCTGGGAGTTGAAGTCCACAAGTCTTAAAGCTGTCAAGTTTGAAGACCCCTGATTATAAACAGTGTGTTGTCTGGTTACAGTTAATTTGAGCCATGGTCATCATCCTAACAGCGATAATGTTCATCAGTAGTGGTCATATAATAACAGTATTTTCTCGACATAATAGTAAGACTTATTAATTGTTAATACTAAATCATGTTAATAATAAACATACCAACATAAGCCCTCGTAGTAAAATGAATCCTCTTTTATCATTTTAAGTATTCTAACTTCTGTTTCTGTTAGTTAACCATTAATAAAACAAATCCCATATTTCAAAATATTCCTTATCTTCCTTCTCTTTAATTTCAAATGTTAATCTATCCATTTCTGCACATTCTACTATTTTTTTCTTATTATTTTCTCTTCTGTAGGGATCTCCACACCTTTCCAATGTTGTGCAAATTCAATTCTAGCTACTGTTAACACATGTAGTATTAGATACATAGTCCCTTTATTATATTTTTCGGGTATGATACCCAACAGAAATATTTCTGGTTTTAAATCTATATGTTCCTTTATCATTTTTTCTTACCCAAGTATGTATTTTTCTCCAGTATGCCCTGACCCTAACCCATCCTTAATTGAGGTTCTGCCCTAACCTGCATTCTCTATTAATAACATTCCTAAGTATCATTGCTAAACCAGGCTTCGGAAATCTGTGGACTATCTTTCCTAGGGAACTTATAAATGCTGAAACGATGCCGTTTTTGTAGATATCTGAGAGGTTTTTCTGCTTCGTAACCCATTAAGAAGAAACGCGTCTGCTGTGGGGCTGAATGAATACACAGCTCTAGCAATCTTTTGTTTTTCGTTTTTGCAACCCCCAGTTGAAGGCTAAACACCCTTTTGCAGATTTGGCCAAGAGGTGTTGAGTTAGAGAACGGTCTCTCTCTTTTTCTCTCTCTCTCCCCCTTTGAGTTATTTCCAACTCTAAATTGGGCTCCTGACCTTGGATAGAAAAGAGATCTGGGACACCAAAGGAAAATTTTGTACTTCAGGGGCACTTGAGACACACAAACAAACCCAGCAGATGAAAAGGGGCCTCTCTCTCTCTCTCTCTGGAACTTAAGCCAAGAATGACCTTTGAATGTTTTTTTTTTTAAACCCACGATGGTGGTTTATCTATCGCAGCCTCGACCTCTCGGCCAAGTGGAGATTAAGATTGAGGTCTTTGAGAAAAGGGGATTTTTATTTGGCTGGCTGTGATCATGGGGTCTGAAGATGGGCTGTGTTTTTCTTATTGTGGCAACAACATGGGGTTTTTTATCGCTAGGTGAAAAAGAAAAAAGAAAAATAGTCACAATTTCTCCAGCAGGCAGAATAAGTCCCAGAGCCCTGTTCCACAAATACATTGCACAAATTAAATAATGGAATGTTGGAATAGAATAGAATAGAATAGAATAGAATAGAATAGAATAGAATAGA